ACCTCCTACCCAGGAACCCGGCCCGAGGCGTGTTGGTGTCAGGGTCTGCTAAGCTGGCGCATTACGCGGAACTGGTCCCAATTCGAAATCTCGACAGAGAGTCAGCTATAACATTGGCATGGGTGCTAATGTATACAGCTTTGAATGTGATACTGTAACTGCAAGCAATATAACCAATGGTATTACTCACAAGGGACATACAATGGTGGGTCACGAAAGACTGCGTGTTGTTGATTTGATCGACCGCTTAAACAGTCGCACTAAACAGTATTCTTCTGTTGGACAAACGCATCAGCCCCTAAATTTGGATTGGCAGACAATACAATAGGGGAACAATTCCTCGCCCCGCCTCCTCGCGACTCCATTGCTGCTATGGCCACATGTCCACTCTGTCTTGGTTGTAAGCTAACCAAAACCTGTAACTGCCTGCCGTTTGTGCAAAAAGCTGTATTGACCGCGATTTCGATGTCCACGCAGGACTCCTGAAAAATCCATATGCCATTAAAATGTTCTAGGAAATTATAACCACAATACCAAGTCATCCTTTGATGCCCTTTGTAGACCGACATCCATCAAAATGGTGACTTTAACCTGTAATATCCGGCCGATGAGATCGCCGACAAAAATGTCCGCATTCTGGAAATGGTGGTGGACACATGAAATTGAGCTTTACCGACAAGAGACTGGAGTTCCCGCTTTGTTGGCCTTCTCTTACGATCCGCGACTCAGCCACCCTCTGATGCGCGCGGTCGCCTTCAACGATTTTGTTTGTGTGGATTCGAACGCAGCCTGGCAACTGAAGGTCTCCTCTCCAGGCCCTCTCTTTGTTCAGCTTTCTTCAACACAACCTCTGCACTCCACAGTGGGGTCTGCCTCTGCTAATGATTGCGGATTTTTTTGACATTCTTGGAAGACTCTGCAACTTCGAAACTTAAGCTTAAAACCGTAGAAAGCCATAATAATAAATGAGAGGCAAGTAATCAGAAGGGTTAACCAGTGAATAATGAAAGTGAAGAGACTCCAACATGTTACTGACGCTGACCGGAGTTGGAGCTCAAGACATTTCGTCGTCAGTTTCCCTTTGTTGAAGTCCCAACAAATATTGAATGGTAAAATCACAAGGATTGTTTTGAGAAAACCCACCCTGTGCATTGGTACGCGGCTTGATCTGTTAGTGTCAGTACGCGCGCAACCAGAGCTGCTAACCGTCGACATCGCCCCCACTGATCTAAAGTGTGGATCCCTTATTATTTCAGATCGAAATTGTTGATCATACACCCTCCATCCATCTCCTCACCTACCAGGCAGCATTGGCATGAGATGGATTCAGAGAGTGGCGACAACATTCCCTGTAACAATAATTAGGTGAAAAAATGTTTTGACATGTAAATCCCATTATAAAGATATGGAATGCCGGCGTCCATGCACCAAGAGTAATTGGTTTTACTCCCAAGCGCATTGATGCATGGTGACCTAGAGAGACACTAACACCATCTATCGTAGTGATCAGTTCCATTTTCGCTTAGTTATCGACAGCACCAATCTTCACATTAGAAGTAAGTACTTGAAAGATCAACGCACTTCACCGCTGTAGATTTTGCCATCGGTGGCCTTGGGTTTCTAATGTGAGCACAGATTTCCTGTTAATGGCTATATATGAAGAGGGGATCTGAAATGTCAGGACACCAGTGATTTTGAAGCCTATAAAAATGGTGTAGGACAAATGTCCTGAGTGGGTGTCTGGCTATAGGCCATTGACCTGCAAAAGCTCTTTTTGATTTTTTTTAATTCCAATGCCATCATATAACTAAATTGTTAATGACATTTAATGTTGCAACTTTAGATTGAAGATTTACAGCAAACTTTAGGCTTTTTTTCAAAGATTTATGACTTATAAACACATAAATGAACATCAATCACCCTCTTGTGAATAAAGAGAGGACTGAACAAAAACAGAAGTGTTGTTATATTTCTAATATTCAGTTGTTTCAAACAGACCCTTATAAGTGAACATGATGTCATAGCTTCGCTTCTTTTCATCCAACTCGTTTAATCTCAGCTAAAATGTCATAGCTAAGTGGAAATACAATAATTAACAGACTGATTTTCTTTTGTCAAACTCGCTTGTTACACTTCAAAACAGTCAAAACTTCCTGGTTCCAGAAGACAAAATTGGTGTGTAGTCATTTCTGCATAGTGAAGAGCAGTTAACTCTTTCTCAACACCAGTCAACCAGAGGCATTTAGGTGATTTACTGCCATGAATAACAGAGTCTCTAGAGACTCTAAGGTCATTGATGAAGCCAATGTTTATGAAGGATATTTATAAGCTTGTAAAACGCTATTAAGCACACATCCCATACACCATTTAAAGCTCTTAATCCCACTGTTGATAAATATGAAATTTATTTTTCTAATATTATTCTACAACTTAAATAAAATTGATTTTTTCAGTTGAAAAATGCAAGCCGCTTATAATGTCCAGGAAAATTGTGAAAAGAAGCAAAAACTAGCGTGGTGATTTTAAGTATCGTGCATTATGTCATATCATCCCTGTGCCTTTTACGTAATCAGAAAATTATTATAAAAAAGATTTCTTTAAATAATATGTATGGTCGCCTATTTCCTGCATATTAGTGGCTTCTCCTACCAGTAACATGACACAACAACGAAAATACCTCGTTTTTCTAAACTTTTATGAATAACATGGTATTTAATCGCTTGATGGCTGGGTATCAATCGAAAGTTCTGAACATCAACAACATCACTATACCCTTGCTACAAGAGCATTTTCTACAGTTGTGTAAGAAGCTTTATTATTTTATTGGATAGAGATTGGTTTCTAATGACGCTTTTCAAACAGTTCTGCTATATGGGTCATGATTGGTCAAAAATCAGACACGCGGACATAAGGCAGCCAATCATATTGCAGCAATGGATACCGCCCTTTCGTGAAACGTTAAACCTTTCTAGATTTAGACCGAAAGTTTTGGGTAAAATAATGCTATTCTGAACATATTAAGCAAGAAATCGCGATTCCATAAGTAAATAATGGAACTTATTGACATACATCGCATAGGTTATGACCTGTGACAAAAAAAGCTTCATGCATATATTTTTCAAAAGATTAAAACATCGCTTCCAAGCTTGAAAGATTGAGGCGGCGAAAGCGTGAGATATCAGTTGTCAGTGACTTGACTTGGGTTACGACATGATCGCTATCAAAAGATGGAAATAGGTAATTTTATATGTAACGCTTTGACAACTTTATGAATGCTGTTGTTGATTTTATTCATTAGTTTATTCAATTTATTTCTAATGATTTCCTCAAACATCGTGACGCGGTGGTGTAATCGGAAACCCTGTTTCTGGATTGTCCAATGCTTAAAAATAGCAGCTAATCGCTAATCCAATACATGTACATTTGGCAGCTTTATTGTGATAAAAATGGATGCGTAAATACATACATGCCGTGGAAACATGATCAAGATTTCATGGTTAGTTTTGATGAATTTTGTAAAATGATAATGTTCGTAATTCTATTAGGGTCCAATATGTGAAAATACCATCAAATTATCGGTCGGCCCGAAAGGTCCTAATTAATAAGAAAGTAGTCGGGTCATTTGAAAAATGTTTATCGGATCTGGCGACCGATGGCCGATGACAATCTTGAAACCCTCGACAACCGCGTGGAGAGGGAGACAACCGGTTATGAAGATTACTTGGTTTGAAAAAGCAATTTTAAGAATTGGCTTCCAAGTTGGCCCGGATATACTGGGAATCTGCATTTGGCTACCGATGTGGAATCGGAAATTTCAACCGATGCAGATGCTGGGGCTTATGGATTAAGATAATTCTCATTGGGTAAGCACTACAGTTCTCAGAAATACATTGCCTGTAACGACTGCAACATGCAGCCAGCTGCCTTTGGCTGCTTAGGGTCCCTTCCATGTCCCTCACTGTGGTTGTATTGATTGCTGCCTTCCCTCTTTTCCAGGCATGACCTAAAAATGAAGAACAGATTGATTTTACAGAACGACAGGATGATCGCATTGATGAGATCGGGCGAGAAATCGACACTCAGAAAGCAGTCGTAATCGGGCACACATATAATACATAACGCCACTGGTAAATCCAAGGACGAACTATGGCTGCAGATAACAGGAATGCGAAGTAGGACACCGATGAACGCCGGAAGCAAAATGCTAAGGATGCAAGAGAACAGTTTTGATAACCGCGATTTGGTGTGAATCACTAAATGTAATTATAAGTATTTAGGATTGATGATGTCTCTAGGACTAGTATGGTCTACAGCATGCAAGAAAGTTGGGGCACTTCAAGCATCTAAAAGCAATAATGCCTGTTTATAATTTGTCTCAAGCAAAATTTTATATCATTTAATGTAGCTTCCTTAATTTTGATATAAACATTGCACCCATTCTATGGTTCTGAAACTTGGGGTGTAAAACATCATGACTCTATAGATGAAAATACAAACTCTTACATTTTTAAGAAATACTTAGGTGTCGGTAAATAATATGTTTCCAACAAATAGATTCTTGGCTAAACAGGTAGATATATTCTATGTTTGTTTCCAAACACAATTAAGAGCACTCCAGCTATTGTGCATAAAGTTAATGCATATGGATGCTTAAGTAGGATACCTGTATCAATGTTAGGTTACTGCTTAAAACAATTAGATGACAAAGGGAAAAATATATTGGGTGTCTGATATTAGAAATTATTATTATTACACCATTAAATATGAAAATGGAGAGGGGTGACTTGTCAATCAGATTGTGGTCCAGTGCATCTGAGCAGGAGGGCAAGGGTACATCAGGGGTGACATTTTTGTGCCTTTGGGGAACACTCATAATTCTATAAGCTTTAAGCATGGTAGTACTGATGGTGTTAAGGAAGATCATGCAGGTGAACAGGAATAAACTTTGGTCTGGCCCTGTGTAAGTGATGCTGCAATGACAAGTGTCACTCATCCCCCAGGTGGAGGCAGGAATGATGGCATCTGGGAGGGCAAGGCTGACTGGACTTGTTGGTACAGAGTGTTACCGCCAGCAGGATGTAGACATAGATTGGAGTGATCGATGCAACTGAGGATGACCTTGGATTATTTTGTCCACAGGATGGCCCCCAGTTGCCTCATATCAAGGAGCTAAAAAATAATGGCTGGTAGGAATTGTTGTGTATAAGCTGATATGTGCAAAATGATGCTGTCAACATATGTTCATTTAGGGAGACAGTTCCATGGTGATAAACAAATTGAGAAACCACTGGTAGTGTAATATGTGACAACTTTGAAACTAAGTATGTAGACTAAAGTTCTAGTTGGGTTCATTCCCATTACACACGTATAACCTCTGACACAACCTTTGTGTGTCGCTTATCAGTCGTGGTGCAACACGTGATAATAATACATTTCAGAGGAAACAAACTTCTTCATCAAAGGAGAACCCATGTTAACCTTGAAATTGTATAGTCGTAATCGGAGAAATCAATTTTAAATTATGTGGTGAAGTTTCAAACACATTATGAAATGTAACTCTGCAGAAGTCTTTTAGAAGTTATCTTGCAGGGAAAAATAGGGGTGATCTTCATACATATGGCCATTGGTTTCTAAGCGTAATTTGGAACAGCTTGTTCCTTTGTCATTGAAAAGTTTCTGTAAATTCACATGAAAACAACTGTGGCAACAACTTCCAGTGACTTCATCTACGCGGTTCTTGACAGTGCATTGTTTTAATTTGATGTTTATTTCATTAATGATGGCTTCAGCCCTTTGTGTCAGCTCCATGGCCATGATGCTGGGAAGAACAGCATTTCAATAATGAGAGTTGTTTCATAATCTTTAGAGGAACACATGAGTTAAAGGGTTTTAATAATTGCCACATCACAGGTAGAGACAATAATTACACATGAGTTAAATGGTTTTGATGGATTGCCTTACCACAGGTAGAAGTAACTACACATGAGTTCGCTGGGTTTAATAATTGGCCTTACTCATTGGTAGAGACCATTACACATGAGTTAAAATGGTTTTAATGATTATGCCGCACTACAGGTAGAGACCATTACACTTGAGCGTAGGGTCGCCTAATATATCCCTCAAGTGATCGATGTGACATTGTTTTGGCATTTAATATATGTAACATTTTCAACCCGCATTAATAACTAAGAATAGTGCTTAAGAGTATTTGTGGAATTGTGGATAAGCTTACAAACAAAACCCATAATTCATGGTGATACGTAAAACGTAAAACATCGGATGTAAAATGCAGTGAGATTGTAAATGATAATATACTGAGTCAAAAAGAAACTTCACATTCTTTCTTCAGGGCACTATAAAAGAACAAGAGATGGTAAGATGGTTAAATTGTTATTATTTCATTGCTGAGATCTGTGTGTGATGTACTCGATACACTGACAGTGCCATAATCAGTTCCATTAGGCTACAACGCCGCTCCAAAACATGGGTATACAGAATGTCAAGTCACAAGAATAAAATGCGAATTTTCAGTTCAATATCGTAGGTATGGTCACCGCCCCGCGATTCACCACACTGCCAAACACCGTCTTCCTCATCGACCGCCTGATGCTTCGTGAACACGGTTTGGGATTCTGCGCCATTGCTCTTGCAAGGCAGCCAAGTTCCTGCAAATTCTGAGGTTGGTTCCTAAGACCACGAAGCCTTCTCCCCAAGCAAATCCCAAACGTGTTCTCTATTGGATTAAGGTCAGGGGACCTTGATGGCCAGTCCATGACATTAATTCAAGCCGCTTTGAAGGAAATTTCGCATCAACATCAAAAGTGGTGAGCAAGCGCCGAGCACATCATGCTGGAACTGTAGACCTGGGCCATGAGCCACCATGAAAGGAACGAAGTTCAGGGGTGAGCACCTGGTCACGGGTAAGGAGCAGCTGTGAGGTTAAATCCATGGATGACCAGAAGTTGGGAACGGTTGTTCCCACAGAAAACACCCCACACCATGCAACTTCCGGCCACCGAATCTGTCGACTTTCTGTACACAACATTGGGCACATACCGCTCACGACGCCGCTCCAGACTTCTATGCCTGCCAGTCCGCGAATCTGAGGGTAAACCTGATTCATCGCTAAAGATCGCTCTCGATTCCAGTCTCTGGGTCCAATCGGAGGTGACGCTGGGCCCACAGCAGACGCTGACGCTGATGAAACGGGCGGCAATATTGGCCCACGATATGGACGCTCGAGAATGGAGATTGGCAGCCCGCAACCGATTTTGAATGGTCTGTGAGGACAGTCGAATCTCTAAACATCTCAGCCCTGGTTCCGGTAGCCGCGTGAAATCTGTCAGGTGGTAGGTGACGAGGACGACATTTGATTTCCGTCTTCTGCTCGTGACACACGCGGGACAACCCGACCTTGGGCTATCGAGAGGTGGTGCCAGTTTGTTGTAGATCGACTCTCGCAAGTCATACACAGTAATGATGGCTGCATCCCATTACTCTAGCCGTGACGCCAATAACTGATCTTCCCGCTTTGTAACATGCCAACGGCATCGGTGAACGTTGCACATTTGACAATCGTGGTGGCATTTCTGGGCAACCAAGTAGGAACTGTGGTTTAAAAGTGTTTTTCAATTCTGAGGCCATCGCAAACACATGCATATGAAGAAAACTTCGACTGTGAAGATCACGTGATCGACTGCACGCAAAACCTGATTTGGCACTCAACGCCATTCTTTTGCACGACGTAATGGATGGGTTTGAGCCGGGTTTTGCTAACGCTTTTCTAGAGTCGAAAGATAGATTCCATTTCTCGGATACATAGATGTACTCATCGTGAGAAAAATTATTCATTATATTTCAAATTACATTTTGTGAAGTTTCTTTTTGACCTCATCATATTCCAATTGCTTTAAGATTACACTCATAGCAAAACACATCTTTCATCCTAAAACTTATGTTCCACGTGCCCGGCTAGAGCCAGCATGAAAAACTAATTTGATAAACAGAAGACGCTGGTCTCTGGCATAACATCCTCTGGATAATGACTGGATATGGTATTGTTAGATTCTCTGATGATCGATTAAAAATGGCTGACAAACCTTATAGACCTCACACCATCAAGAACAGTTTATGGTGTCACTATTGCTTCATTTTACTGAGAGGGATCCCCTGAGAAAAACATCATTCAAACATTTAGTTACAAACATTCACTTTGATACAGCATAGGATCTCAAGACGTTGTAGCAGGGTAGGGACGGTACTCTTCTTAATGAAAACCAACACCTGCTGGGGTGTATTGGGACTTGTGCCTAGGATTTAAATTTCTATTGCTCAGTGATGTATATTTTGTTTTCACCCTGTAACATAATGATACAATAACAATCAATAACACACTCATATTATCACATCTATACTAGTCAAATTCGTACATTATAGTTACAGATAATGATTATACGTCTAATAAAAATATATTTAATGTCATACAAATTACTTAAACCTGCAAGAACCTAATAAAACATATAAAATGATAACTAAATGCAGTTCACAAAAAGTATTATATAGATATACTTCAATAATAATAATCATGATATGATTTCCTAACTCTCCAATAATATTAATTTTATCAGAAATACATTGAAATATGAAAATACATTTTTGTAAAAGGATAAAATACCTACCAAATTTCTATGGTACTCAGGTGAAAGTGAGCATCGCCTACCTTAGTGAAACAGCATGTCCATCTATAGTGAGTGAGTGAGTTTTAGCTTTACGCAGCACTCAGCAATATTCCAGCTATATGGCTGCCATCTATAAGTAATATAACATACCATTAAGTATATTATGCCATCGTGAATAAAACATATATCACTCTATGCCATAATAATTATGAAATGGATGCTATTGCATTAATCATGATTAACCTATACATCCATAAAACAAAGCTGCATTATTAATATATACACACCTTTACCAACACAACATTATCTGTACCTCGTCATTCTCTTACAAATATATACAATAGTTATTAACATAATATGGGATTTCAAATGGCAGAAACATTACATGTACCCATCAAGTATACAACATGGCTTCAGACAAAGATGGCTGCTGAGCAGGCACAAATGTTCGTGGTGTCACTTGGGTGGGCGTATAATAAATCGATAACCAGAGTATATTGCAATTCTAACTTCAATAATATGATATATTAAGGAACACTTCTTACCTAACTGGTTCACTCCGATATGATCGCATCGCGGACCCTTATCAGTAATTTTCGCGGAAGTAGCTGTCAAAAATACTACTAATAACATATTTGTATTTCCTTTATGTTATTATACATTAATATCCATTTTGAGGAATGCAGATGCTTTTTCTCAAGTTCCAAACTTCAGAGCTTAAGTTCCAATTTGGAAACATTTTCAATTGATCTCTTTGTACAATCATATCTGAGTCCTGACAGTGGCCAGTGGCATTGTTTCAAAAGGAAGGTACAGAGTCAACAGTAATTTCCACATCTTAAACCATGTGTTACACTTTCATTAACATATTGCAATACATATTGCAATACCAACACACATTACAATATATCGTAATACTCTAACATTCTCTTGGCAATAATTCTACCCTATGTGTCACCCGGACCTATTACAGCACATTATATTACTAATAAACATCATAATAATCCTGGATGCATTAAACATGAAAAATTGCCTATAAATATTTGACTCTAATCTTAAAACACATTCACACCTTCACATCACAGAATAAGTTTTAACTTTAAGCAAGAATAATGTCATACAATATAACTATATTTTAAATATTGAACCTCTGGTACATAATGTTTTATAGTTAAGCTAACTAACCTTAAACTGTGAGAGAGTAACTTGTAGACAAAAAGGAGAAAACAGATGTCCTGGCCAAAATATCATGTCATATGTTTAAAGCAGCCATAGTCTCCCTGGTTTAAGGTGCCTTGTGCAGCTGTATGTGGTAGAGACTAACTTAAAATGTGCTGATGTTAGTGAAGCAAAAATAGACAACATTAAACTGGACCAATAAGAGATCAAGGCATAGCTTGTCCCTCTGAGTGAGGAACAAAAGAACACCCTCTCTCCCAATAGAGCCCAGGTCCAGCTTGGGGCAATCAAGTTGGAGACATTGCAACATACATGCTCAATAAAAACCTGTATTCAATAAAACTACTTTCACAACCAAACTTGAATAAAGATGACACCGCATTCTTCACACAAAATAAATAAAATATAAAACTATGACACTGCCACTGTATTGTGTCAATTGCATTGACAGGTACAAATGTTGTAGTCTCAGGGAAGTTGATCTGTATCACTAATTCACTAATTCACCGAACTGACTGCAACATTTACTGGTAGAAATTCTACTGCTTGTCAGCTAATATGCAGCTACATTCCAGTAGTAAATGCCACCCATATATCACATTGTTACGCGGTTGGATTCCAGATAGTATCTAAATAGTTAACCGAATAGGACCTAAAGAGAAACTAACTCTAGCATGAAACAAACAAACGACAAAGAAATGTGGAATGTAGATTACCTGTAATTTTAACTAAATTCACAATTCATCACAAATCTCTGTATACAAACCCGTCACAGTGGCAGTACAAATTCAGGGGTAATCTTAATATAAGAGCAGCAGATTATAGCAATAAAAACAATTATGGTAATATTCATCTCTCAGCAACTGTAATCCTGAGACAGGGTAAGTGACCATCACACATTGTACATGTCTTTAAAAATATATGAGTTGAGAGGCAATAGACTGGCTCCCCTTAGATACAAAGGAAAAGCCTAGAAAAATTCCACAACATCCCTCAGAGCCACTTCGGAGATGCCTATAAGGTATCGTAGCCCCATGTCTGATCTCAACAGGTACAATTGTGTAAACAGGGTGACCAGGTAGGTGGCACAATGTATTAACGCTGTCTCATAACAACATGTAAAGTGTAATAAGTAATATGCAACTCAGCCAGATGTTTGTGCCGTATACTGGAGCATTGAAAACAATGATATGGGGGCTGACATGGTCCTCAATGTGTTCAATAAATACTTGAGAGATACCGAACAAAAGTAGGATAAAAGTTCGCTTTCCTTAATATCTCTACACAGTTTTGTTCCTAGGGCAGCTATGGCCTTTAAAAATCAAAACATTATGTGTGAATTCTATGTTTGCATAAGTCTGTTTTGTGAGAGGTCTTTTAGCAAATGCAAAGTAACTAAAGCGAAAATTGTTATGCCTGTTAAATGATGTAGAAATAATCCATATACTCTGACCACTCTAAACAGCCTCCAGTCAGGATATCATTCGAAAGCATTTTCATTTCAGATTCTCAGTGGGACAGAAGACGTGACATTACCATTGCAAGCATCGCTGCCAATATTGTGGTCTCAAGTATACAGCATTTGTTGGTGTAGACACAGAGATGAACAAAAGCTGCATCTGAAAAGTCAAACCTTAGTCCACAGATCTAAGTGCCAAAGTGAAGCAAGACAACAATTCTTTCATGTACACCAACGGCAGTTTGTTAGTCTAGGAACTGCTGATATCAATGGTAACGGAATTCTTCCAATTAGTCCATCCAACTGAAGTTCCACACCATCACTACCTTAAACAAACTGGACCAAATTGATAACAGATCACTCTATGACAGCAGGTTAAATCTAATTTGTCATCAAAGTGCAGTTAAAATTTATCAATCAATCAATAGCAGGTAGATATAGTTGGTTTTAGATAACCACCAATAGGTATATCAGCCAGTTTAGACTAATACCAATAGCAGGCTGATATAGTCAGTTTAGATTACTACCACCAATAGTAGGTTGATATACTGGTAGTCAGTTTAGGATAACTACCAATATCAGGTTGATATAGCCAGGCTTTAGATAACTACCAAAAGCAGGCAGACATAGTCAGTTTAGATTACTACCAATAGCAGGGTTGATATAATCGCCGAGATACTACCAATAGCAGGTTGATATAGTCAGCTTAGACAACTAACCATTAGCAGGTTGATATAGCTCAGTTTAGATAACTACCAATAGCAGATTGATATAGTCAGTTTAGATAACTACCATTAACAGGCTGATATAGTCAGTTTAGGAATACAAGCAATAGTGAGGTTGATATAGTTGGTTTAGACTACACAAACCAATAGCTGTTTGTACCAATACAATGTTACTTTGATTGCTAATGAAATGACTCTCTTACAGTCAACAACACGCTTCGAAGTGTTACAGAACCTGTTTAAAATTGGGACTTCCATTTCATTGCTCTGAAATATATTTTGATAAAGACTCCCAGTTGAAAATCTAAAACTGAATGGTTGGTACCTGGAATGTCTCATGATTGGCTGAGGTTATTTTTCTCTCTTTTAATAGATCCATCAGTACCAAGGGGATTGGTGGTAAAAGTCTTAGGATTGGTGGTGCTAGGGCTACTACAGGAAAGTCCCTCAGAGATTCAGTGCAAGGGAATTCAGAAGGGAAATTTCCACGCTGCAAAACGAAGCTGCTGTGTTGCTAAGAAGTTCTGGCTTCCATGCATGAAGAAACAAGAGGGATCATTAGAGGTTTTGTGGACAACGCCATTAAACACTCTGTCCAATACACTGAGTGTAGTCAGATCTAAAAACACTGGCATCTCCACACATGCTTACTGGGCGGCCTTAAAAGGCCAAGGGCTTAACAAATGTAAGGTTAAAGATTATGCAGAACTGCTGTATTTAACATATTTCATGATTTCAGTGCTTCCTCCTCCTCTATCTCATAAATTGCCCACGGAAGATAGACCTGTAAGTTATTGTATATCTCTGTAATAACAAACTGAACAACAGACAGTGCCGACATGAAACAGGCTTACGTTAATCGTGAAAAATCTGTAAAATCAGTACCTAATATGCAATTCAGGCTTGGATGCTAATATACTCAATTGGTGGAAGTTGGTCCTGACATGTAAATTATTAGGTTGATGCTTGATATTGGAAAAATTTAACCTTAAAATGTATATATTTATAATTTCTTATCCTATCTCACTCTGACCATCCGACCTTTAAGGCCCCCACTCCAACAGAAGTCAATCATCTCAATAAGTGTGCCGGGTTACTCAGATGATCACGCGACCCTCTGTGCCTGTCATTCCCTTTCTTGTCACTACACCGAAAGTGGACGCAGGTTGTTCCCTTCAGGTATGGCATTACTTGATTGTGAGTATGGTCAAATCAAATCGAAGTTCTTCTAAGAAACACAAACATTTGCAGGATAAGTGTAATTGGCAATTTTTCCGCTAAGCTGATCCATACGCTTTGTGTGTGTGGTCCATATATTGTGTAGGGTATTGTGACTGGTCGTGACATGTTCCTGGCTTGTTCACACCTTGGATGATGAGATGAATTTTCTGAGCATCGACGGGTCGCGATCTAGACGATGGCGGACAGAGATCAGTCAGAGGCCTGCTGGAGGGTCCTTCATCTTCTAAACGCAAGCAACTCCGATGAAGATGTTTCTTTAGATGTGGCCCCTCAGATTCTTTATTTGAAGTGGAAAATTCACGTCATTGCCTTTCATCTTCAAACTATCTGTAGTCCCCCTCACCAGACAAGATATTTCTCCTCCAGAGTGGTAGTGTTAACTACCCTCTTCACAGCACAGTCTTGACTTTCTACATTGGTGATGATTTCACAGGACCCCTAGTTTGCACACTGGTGGTGGTTGTTTCCACTCGCCGCTTGGGTCGGGTGTTACACTTCCCTCTGCTACTGTATGGCGCTTTGGTCAGAGCATTCACTCATGCTGCAAGTGCAGCTCAGTCTCGGCGCTTTCTACCACCAGGATCTACTCACAATATCTATGACTTTTTGGGGGAAACAGGATAGAGGGAGGACAGCTTAATTTATCATTGCATTATATTAACTATTGCTACATATTTTCAACGGGTAGTAAAGATCATAAATATTTGAGTAGTAAGACAAGCATTTTATCTTCAGTCTGTTTTCTCTTTAAATTAGTTAATGATTAATTCGACATGAGATAAAGGGACAAAGTTAAATCCTGACAACATAGAATTGATGTCATCATATTGCTTTGGGCAGATCACAAAAAACATTTTACTCAGACTGTTTCCATGGATGGAATATACATAGAGATTCACATTGACTCCTCTAATCACATGGTGACCAAATACAGATCCAGAATCATTTCATTGTCTCAAGATTCCACAATGACTATAACATAACACTCTGTTTGTGGATCTTTTGCAGATATCCTTGTTTCCTTTGAAAGATCCTGGTATGGCTAGGTCCGCAGGTTCTCTCGTGGAGGTCGTGGTGGTATTCCTCGTGGAGGTCGTGGTGCTAGTTCTCGAGGAGGTCGTGAGTGCAAGTTCTCCTGAATGTGAAATTGTAGCAAGAAAGGGGTGTAAAAGGGCAGGTATGTGAGGAAAAGAAGCAGAAGTCAGGAGAGAAGTTTAGGATACCAGAAGAAAGCTGGAAAGGAAATGTGTCATGGAAGAGGGCATGTATTCTTGAGTCTGAGCTCTGATGATGATGAGCCGCTATGGGTCCACAACTACAAGGGAACATAAGTAATAGCACAAACATCTCTAAGTTATAGTTTCTTTTGATAAATATCAAAACTGGGGTGCATTGAATACATGTTAGCACATAATAATAGTGACTTATATAATCATGGTATGCATAGAAACTCTGATGAATAAGGTCTGTACCGAGGTGAAGGTTATTGCTGAGAACTGGAAACCTTGACCTTATGTATTGTAATACTTCTTTCCTACCTCACCAACATACACATTATCATCTAGCATGCACGCCAGCCATATGAGCTTAAATATTCTCGCTAACTAACGCTAAACCCAATTTCACCTCACCTCACTTACTCACCAAAGCTTTGACCTTGACATGAATTGTGAGACACAGATCTGCATACAAGGTGCCTCTATATTAAGACATTTTATAGTATCTAACAATCATATGAGTTGTCCAGATGGAATATTCTAAAATAACCGCACCATATATTCCCGGTGGGATCACTGTGACTGGCCAAATACCTTCACATGTTATTGGGCATGTAGTGATGGGGTGGGATCACTGTGACTGGCCAAATACCTTCACATGTTATTGGGCATGTAGTGATGGGGTGGGATCACTGTGACTGGCCAAATACCTTCACATGTTATTGGGCGTGTAGTGATGGGGTGGGATCACTGTGACTGGCCAAATACCTTCACATGTTATTGGGCATGTGTGATGGTGTGGATCACTGTGACTGGCCAAATACCTTCACATGTTATTGGGCATGTAGTGATGGGGTGGGATCACTGTGACTGGCCAAATACCTTCACATGTTATTGGGCGTGCAGTGATGGGGTGGGATCACTGTGACTGGCCAAATACCTTCACATGTTATTGGGCATGTAGTGATGGGGTGGGATCACTGTGACTGGCCAAATACCTTCACATGTTATTGGGCGTGTAGTGATGGGGTGGGATCACTGTGACTGGCCAAATACCTTCACATGTTATTGGGCGTGTTGTTATGGGGTGGGATCACTGTGACTGGCCAAATACCTTCACATGTTATTGGGCATGTAGTGATGGGGTGGGATCACTGTGACTGGCCAATCACCTTCACATGTTATTGGGTGGGCTGTGCCAAAATACCTTCACATGTTATTGGGGGTGGGATCACTGTGACTGGCCAAATACCTTCACATGTTATTGGGCGTGTAGTGATGGTGTGGGATCACTGTGACTGGCCAAATACCTTCACATGTTATTGGGCGTGTAGTGATGGGGTGGGATCACTGTGACTGGCCAAATACCTTCACATGTTATTGGGCATGTAGTGATGGGGTGGGATCACTGTGACTGGCCAAATACCTTCACATGTTATTGGGCGTGTAGTGATGGGGTGGGATCACTGTGACTGGCCAAACACCTTCACATGTTATTGGGCGTGTAGTGATGGGGTGGGATCACTGTGACTGGCCAAATACCTTCACATGTTATTGGGCGTGTAGTGATGGGGTGGGATCACTGTGACTGGCCAAATACCTTCACATGTTATTGGGCGTGTAGTGATATGATTGTGAAGAAGGCAAAAACATGGATGAAGAAACAGACCGCAGGCAAGGACAGCATCAATGGATGTCATATAAAGCAGAGGATCTTGTCCGAACTGTTAAGGCAGTGTAAGTTACTACAAAATATTTCAGTTTCACTTCATATCATGATTCAGATGTGATCAGATCACAACCGATATTGCCTAATTCATCCTTTGTAGAGAGTTCTGTGTGTCTGGATCTCAGTTACCTGTTGACCTTGTTTATTCATGTGGATATGTATGACACATCTTATATTGACAGATCTGGCCAAGTTGTGTGCGGACAAATAACAACAACGGCAAAGTTCCAGAAGAAATGACCTGAGGAATTGAAATTATAGCCTTAGTCTGACTATGCCTTCTCTTATATGTGTACTCAAGCATCTACTTATTGTATTTGTTACGCTATACCATGTTGTATAGCCATTGTATAGGTTATGCTAACAGATCCATCTCCATTGTGCCACACATTCATATATTTTTGTATATGCCTCACTGAAATGAGAAAAAAGTTGTGCACGGACAGGTTGTGTCATGTTTAAAGGAGATAACTCCCATGGTGTTAGTAAGGTGCATCTTTGCAAGTAAATCAGCTCTCCCTGTGAGCAGACAACTAACCCTCTCTGCTGGACCCTGAGCAGACAGCTGACCACTCTATCGGGCTGGAACTGCCTCCGTGGTATAGTGCGGTTAGAGTGTCCGCCTGGAGAGAGGAAAGTCATGGGTTGGATCCCCGCCGCCATACCAAAAAAGACGCTAAATATGGCACTTGTTGGTCCCTGCCTGAGCTCGGCATTAATGGGGTACAACAAGGACTGGTCGGCTGAGTCAGTATAATGTGTCTGGAGTGGGGTATTGATGCTTCACCGCGCATGGTATCTCAGTGGCATAGCACTATAAAACCAGCTTAAGTCTGGGCTAGTACAAGGAGCCACACATACACACGCATGCACATCAGTCATATGAGCAAAGTTTTCTTAAGGCAACATAAATACCATTTCACTTCACCTCACCTCACCTCTCTGCTGGATTCTGAGCAGACCGGCCAACCTCTCTGCTGGACGCATGAAGAGACAAGAGAAATCTATGCTATGCCATAGCATCTTGAAGATCTGGCCAGCCCCTAGGCCTGCTGTGAGTGAGAGTGAGTGAGTTTTGTTTTACACCGCACTCAGCAATATTCCAGCTATATGGCGGTGGTCTGTAAATA